CAAAGGTTTCAGGAAAGAAGCAAGAAATATCATCCACTGAGTAGGTACTTTTTCCTGGGCTAGCAAAATACCTTTAAAATGTGCCATTTAATTTGGGGCCTTGCATCAGTAGTGTTTCAAATAAATTGCTTTTAGGTAGATTATGAACTAACTACACATAAAACAGAGCCAATTATTAGACAATAGGTAATATGCTCCTTTTTAGAAAATTTTTTTTATAAAGATATTAAATCTTGGGACGCCTGGGTGGCTCAGTTGGTTAAGAGTCTGCCTTTGGCTCAGGTCAGAATCCCAGGGTCCTGGGATTGAGTCCCACCTTGGGCTCCTTGCTCAGCAGAGCCACTTCCACTGCTTGTGCTCTCTCTCTGGTAAATAAATAAAATCTTAAAAAAAAAAAAAAAAGACAGCAAATATTCCAAGTTTACAGGGATATAGTGCTAAAATAGCATGTTTTTAAATACTATTCCTTGTAATGAGGTATTTATCAGAGGTTCAATATATACTCATCACTTCATTTTAAAAAGGTTTGAGGGGAGCTTGCTAGTTACTAAAAATTAGGACTATAAATTTGACACGGAGCATGCTAGGAACCAATCTAAAATGTAACTCAATTTATCCATAAGGAACATACCAGTTCCCAACTTTTATTCCCAGTCATAAATTAGAAATGGCTTAACAAAAGAAATTATTCAGAATCTGTAAATTCATCAGTTCTTTTCCTTTTTACCATTTTCGAAGGAGGACAGGGAACGGGTAGGGCATGATAGCTCCTTCTGTAGAAGCAACTGCTTCCTGATAGTGTCACATCACTGTTTACTTGAATTTTATATTAAGAATTGGAACTTAAGATTTTAAACTATACGTCACTCAAAATCTTTTAACATTTCTATTTGCTCTTATGCCACTGTATCTAATCATATAATTAATGACTTTATAAAAAGACTAATAATTTTTAATCCCAAGCCATAAGCTATATTTATGAGCAGTATTCAATTCTATGCAAATTTCCACTGCAATTAACAAATTTGGACAGTCTCTGAGATTGATTTAGTAAGCACCAACATTCTTTGTATTTACATCCTTTGCCTCCAAGTCCTATCAATTCTTCTTTCATAAAAACTTTTTTTTTAAAGATTTATTTATTTATTTGAGAGAGAGAGAGAATGAGAGATAGAGAGCACGAGAGGGAAGAGGGTCAGAGGGAGAAGAAGACTCCCTGCTGAGCAGGGAGCCCGACACGGGACTCGATCCTGGGACTCCAGGATCATGACCTGAGCCGAAGGCAGTCGCTTAACCAACTGAGCCACCCAGGTGCCCTTTAAAACTTTTTTTAACCTAACTATAAAAATAGAGATCTGCAGCCAAAAAACCATGTTTCCTATAGTTTCTTATATTCCTCCCTTCTATTCCATTTTCATTGACTGAAGTAGTAGTGAACTAGTTCAGGCTCTACTCACCCTTTTCGGAACTACTGCAAAAGCATCCTAAATAGTTCCTGTTCTTCTTTCCAACCTATCTTGAATACTGTCACCAATTCATTTTTTTCCTAACACTGCTTTCATGATGTCCTGCCTCAGTTCAATAATCTCCAATGGCCTCCCATGGCATAAAGCAGTGATGGGAATTGGAGTTCATTCATATTTTTTACCCTCTCAGGACCAGGGTAAAAAATAATGAAAGAACTTTACATTTGGAAACAACAACAAAAACATTTTGTTGTTTCATAATAGAAATTACCAAAAGCAAGAGCAACTGAGGGTGGCAGAGCATGGATAAAAACAGGATGCGAAAACCCTAGTAGCTTAATTTAGTATTCAATATGCCTCAGAATCCAGATCTACCACATTTTTTTTTTTAAGATTTTATTTATTCATTTGAGACACAGAGATAGAGAGAGATGGAGCATGAGCAGGGGGAGAGGCAGACAGAGAAGCAGGCTCCCCGCTGAGCCAGGAGCCCAATATGTGGCTCCATCCCAGGACCCTGGGATCACGACCTGAGCCGGAGGCAGACGCTTAACCATCTGAGCCACCCAGGCGCCCCCCGATGTACCACATTTTCAATATTAACACTGGTTTAGAACATGCCCAGAGACCAGCTCAATGTCATTGTTAATGATGTTTACATTTCTCTCAACACAATTTCTATCCAGCATTTCCCTCATGTATCCTCAAAGCCCTTTAACCAACCACCTTCTCAAAGTGAAGCCAAATGTTTTCTGTGAAAAATGGTCATCAAGTGAGAGGCTTCCATCTCACTTCATTACTGCATTACAATGGGGATACGCCAAGCACAACAGTAAACAGCAAAATTACTACTTTCCTAGTGATGGGAATCAGAGTTTATTCAAAAATAATGTAAACAATGTTAAATGCACAAGTGTCAGGAGTCCGCCCAACTCAGTAAATATAACCCTCTTCCCATCGGGTTGCTCTATGTTTTTAACCATGCCCTGCACATTTCTCACCTTGTCTTTACTCACATCAGTCTTCGCAGTTCCTCTAAATCTTCAAAACTATATTTTTGCTCCAAAAGCACAATTATTAAGGAGCATATTTCTAAAATAAAGAATATCTTTTATTTAAAAAATCCAAACTTTTTACCATGGCCTGTTAGAGACCCCCAATGATCTAAGTTTAGCCCACCTCCCCAACCTCACCTGACACCAGTGTCTCCCAAGTTTTTCTCATTAGTCTTCTTACTAGACTTTCAAACACACAAAGCTAATTCCTGCCTAAAGGCTTTTGTCTCCCTACGGGTTGCTTGGCAATTTTTATCTACAGCTCAAATCTCACCTCCTCACAAAGGCATTTCTCAATGCCACCCTACTTAAAACAACCCCCCCCCATACACACACCCCAATCATTTTCCATACCATCATCCTGTTTATTTTCCTCATAACACTTACCACTGAGTTCCTTACTTATGTAATTATCGTACACCCCTAATGGGGAGCACGTGTGTTCTGCTTATTTGCTATACCCTCACAGCCTAGAATAGAACCTGTCTCTTCGTAGGTAATCAATTATCAGTTGAATGAACGAACTGTGAAGAACCTAAGACTTACAGAAATGGTTTAACTATCCATGACCATAATCGTGATATTCAGTGGTTTCCTAAAGGAACTAAAGTTTCCAAATAGCTATCATCAATACAGAATTAGGGAACTATATAAAGATAAGAGTCCCTGGGTAGGCAATATTCTCTGTCTTTTGTTTTCTAAACTTAGTATTCCAAAAGTCAAAATTCTAAGAGAATGCTGTCACCTCCTGAATCCCTAATGTTCAAAGATCAGAACTCTTCTCTTTGTTCCCATACTGGAATACAATATGACAAATCAGTATGCCTTTGTTAATCATTAGATTTCCCATTTGCAAATTTCTTATTACTCTTTATTCTTCTACGTCTTAGTTTCTCTTAAACGTGTTTTTTAATTCAGAAAAAGGAAAGATTGAGTTACTCCTCATCTCCTAATATCTTTAGTGTAATGATTAATGTTAATAATGCTTTGGGGTATGTCATTATCAAAATGTTATTCAGAAACATCACAATTGGCTTATTTCCCTGTTGTGAAGGAATGAACTGAAAAATATGTTTTCTGTGATCTCATGGATGTTCTTCTAGAAAATGAACCATTTCTAAAATACTACAAGGCAATGAAGATTTCTCAGCAGGCAGTTATACTACCAGATTCTGGCCCTTTTATACATAAAGAAAAGTCCTACTGCTTGCTGGTGGGACACTTTCTGCCCCCGAAGTAACAAGATACATGCTAGTAAGTTAATAACTTGTCTAGTAAGATTCTCCATCTCTAACAAACTTGATTTTTTTTCCTCTTCCAAAATAAACAATTTCCCAAAATGAAAAGGGAAATAAGACAATGTTCCTTTAAATACATATATATAAAATCAGGTACTAAAGTGAATGAAAAGATTTGGAAACTGTTTATAGACTATGCAGATTTGTCCCTGTCGACCTAAAACAAATAACTTCTAAGAAATAGATTTCTAACCACTACATGAAAATATCTTTCTCAAAACATTTCATTAAGTCTAGTGGCAAGTCTGCCACAAATTCAATTGGCCTATTCGCGGTAAAAACCCCACAGGTTTCCTTTCTTTAAGAATGTCAACCATTTTGCCTTTTTTCCTCTCCGATTCAATTATAATCCATCAAGAGCCTAAACCACACTAACAGCAATTCCTCTCACTCAGCACCTGAGACCCTAGTAGAACTGCGCTCCCTCGGACCATAAATGCTCAGATCCCACTTCCCTGGCTCGGTTTAGCTGGGGAGTCGCCACATTACAACCCGGATAAACTGGGCGGTGGCAGGACTTTGCCAGAACTCTCGCCTTCCCAATTCTCCACGCGCCACACCACTGGAGGCGCTCTCCCTTCACTGCAGTTGGGTCAGTGTGGATGTTTTCCACTGGGCCAGCTCCCCACCAGCGCCAAGAGTCGAGAGGGAGGGGAATGAGGCGCTGGGGAGCCACCCAAGCCAGGAAGAAGGTGAGGAGGGGGGCCAGGGCTCAATGCTGGCAAAGTGCCTAGCTGCAAAACTGCGCCTTTTCCCTAGGAGCACCCCAGACCGGTAGACAAAAGATTAAGGGCGCCAAGGCCTTTCCATCCTCACCCGGGAGCCTAGCCAGCCCAATGTATCCACAACCCTAGTTCCTAGATACAGACCCAGCTCCTATCAGGGGTGGGTGCCTAACTTCCGGGATGCAGTAGAATAGGGACCAGAGGGAAGAAGCCGAGAGCAGGAGGGGTGCACGTGTTCCCCGATACCGAGACAGACAATAAAGAACAAGCCCGGGTTTCCTCGGCCGCCCCACCCTGCTCCTGACGGCTCCTACCAGGGGGGGCGCCTTCGCCCGGAGGTCCACGGACAAAGCCCCTCGGGGCGGAGAGGAGGGCTCCGCCCGAGGCATTTGGGGGTGCACACAAAAGACGGAGGGGAGCGAGGGGCTGCGCGAGGCGGGAGGGCACGGCACTTACCCACTGAGCCTGAAGAGCCTCTGCGCT